TATTTATTACATCCGTAAGTAATCCAACATTATTCATGAGTATTGAAAAAGATTGAATAAAATTCTTTGGCTTTAACGTAAAGCAGCTTTTTTTTACAGTTTTTCTGCAATTAATTTCTTATTGCTTAGATCGCAGGATAAGAAAAAATTGCGAGATGTATAAAAAGGGGCAGGGTCACATTTCTTTTTTTTATTTATAATAATCTTAGTATGAAATACTAATAAGCATCTTATAACTAAAAAAACTAGAGAATATGGTTAAAGATTTTTTTTTAAAGTAATAACCATAAGTTAATGAATTAATTAATACCACATCCACAACTTTTCAACATGTGTTACCATCATGTAAATGTAATCCCAATTCGATAAGAGAACGGCAAAAAAATTTTATTACAATAATACCGAATTGGTGTAGTGGGTATTATTTTTATTAGTCAATAATATATTAACTCTAGTACGACACAGGTCACGTGACCTCGTGATAACTCGTCGTATATAATGTCAAGTGATGTGGCAAACGGTCAAACGATTTTGGAAACAGTCGATCGAGGTAAAGCGTCGGGTGAAAATCGGGTACGTATTTGTCAAAAGTATCGTATTTCTGGATCATTTAAACTCTTTATTCGAACACCTCTCTCCTTATTCCGTTTGAATAATCAATCCAACCTACGATATTTTCATACTTATGCAGTGCTTTTAAATGCAAGTAGCAATTTAATTAACTAAAATTTATTCCAAGGAAAAATGACATCTTTTGCTACACTCCTCGCGGTCTTGGCTCTGCTGATCGTCATTACGTTGGCGGCCGAGGAGCAAAACTTCTCTAGAAAATATTTAGAATATTTTGGGCCATTTGACACCAGACTTGCCCAAAATGTTAATCAAAGCCTAACGTACATGGTATGCGGCTGGACCAAAGGTTGGGTCACTTACAACTGCTACATCCAACTGAATTTGGTCGATGGCTTCGAAAAATACTGCAAGTTGACCCTCCCACATCTCAAGAAACATGACCATCTTTATAGTATGATTACAAACAAGGCACTTGTTGAGTGGACCTTCATAAAATATGGCATGGAATACAAAAGGCTTACTCTGTACGACATAAACAATTGCAATTCCATCGACATAGACTTTCCGTTCGACCATCACTACCACCTCCTCGTCTACGACAACAGCTTCCACGTTTCAGTAAAAAGTATGGAAAAGTGCGGCGAAGAGCACAGCCCCTGCATGATCCGATACAATCACGATGGTAATTACAAATTTGTAAAAACTTGGCGTCGATGCTCAAATTATCATAAAGATGATTATTTTACTGTTTTCAGGAGAGCAAATTGGCGAACCAGTGCCCTTTCCTTCAAAGAATTACAGGCAGGGGTACGCTATGGTCGTGGACCGGCACAATTCGAGCAGTGGTGGATTTTTTACCACATATGAGAAAATCGACCGCAATGAATATCAGATGAACGTCAGTCACGTGAGCAACGATGGCACCGAAATGGTCCTTTTAAAAAATTACGTTGTGAGAAAGAATGTCGAGGGTGCCCAGGTGCAGTCGAACGAGTACGGCTACTTTTCGTTCTGCCACAGGCAATTTGAGTTACGTGGAGTGATTACCTGTACGCAATACGACGCGATGGGCAAATTAATTATTGACGGTTGGTTCTACTTGCCATGGAAACACAAGATGATTAAAGTGTTCAATTTGCGCCGAGGTGGCATGATCCTCATGTACTTTAAGTGCAGTAGTCTTAGGTCCTTTACCACTGATGTGAATATAATAGCAATGACTCATAAGAAGAATTCTCTCAAGAACGTCCAGCTAACCGAAGTTGGAATATATACCTATCCTGGAAAGGAAGGACAAGGTTACAGTATCGAACACATGGAAACTGACACGCAGCATTGCTTTTACTTTGCCAATGGGCCACATCGCTGGTACGATAAAAAGACCGTAATTAGGTTTATTAAGAAATGCATTAATAAAACAGTATAGTTAAAAAAAGCAGCTCATTTAGACTTTGTTTCAAAACTTAATTGTAACAGTGTATTGAATTTTCAAAATATTTTTTAAAATGAGGTTTATATTTATACGATTACGTTGACAAAAGATATTTCAAATGATTACGTAGCATTTCATATACGTACATAATTTATTTTCCTGGTGTTGATCATTAAGAAACACGCGACTAATTTCTGATAATACATGATTATCACATACTAGTTATCATTTTCGCTGCCGATTTGTGCATAGCTATAATACTTGTGCAAAATGAATAATAAATCAATGTAAAATGACGTGAATCAACTTTTTTTCCTGTGTATGTAAAATCTTGAAAAACTAACATGGTTTTTGACACATCACTGAATAAGGTCTCTTACATGTCTCCTTTTCCTTTAAAAATTGATGTACGTATTTTCCCATTTTCCGACACAAAAATATTTTCAGGACAATCGTTTGCATCCTTTTATGAACATCGTGAGTTCTACACGGAGTTCAAATGCAAAATCCGATAATGAAAATAATTTAAACTGCGTCAGCTCACGTGCAGCTGCTCAAGTGAACTGGATCATCTTTTGAATATTAAAAAATTTTCCTTAATTAACCATTTTGGTCTAATCTACAATGATAATTTATGTAATGATCTTCTGCAATGAAAAAGTTTATGTAATATCTTATCCTCTCTAAAACCTTTTAATAATTACATTACTATCCTAAAGTCTAACAAATAAAATTCTAATCATAAAAAAGATCGATTAATAGATTTGACTTTTCAGCATAGAAGTTTTTACTGTTCTAACCATATTTTTTACTACTCAAACTATACCTTTACTGTTAAAAATAATAATTTTTTCCTTGTTTGCCAGCTTGCATTCGATTTACAGTGCAAAATGGTAATTTTTGCTGGAGAATTTTTCCATGAATTTTATTATTTTTTTCTCTTAGTTTATATACATACATTTTTTTAATAAACAAATTTGATTACTGAAGCAAGTAAAACACAAATTTAATGGAACTAGAATATCGAGTTATTAAAAATTCTACAAATTTTCAGGGATCACCAGTAGGAATTATTGAAAAATTGAGTCTTCATATAATATAATAACTTTCATCTTGAGACGGAGGGGGGGGGGGTGATAGACAAGGTCGATTTTCGTAATCGTTTAGACTAGAGCTTGAGCGGTGGCTCGACAAATGCGCGTGTATCTCCTATCTGTTAACATTGATTCTTGGAATATTCGTTAATACCTATATCTTTGCTCACGGCCAGACGGTAGATGTGATTGCTGCACATACTTATTAAGCAGATATAATTTTATTGTTGAGTACAACTTTTTCATAATCCGATTGTTAATTTTATTTGAGATTTCGAGTAAAAACGCTGATTTGGATTGTTTTTCATCGGAACCATTACAAAATATAATATAATTTGGTAAAAAATTCAGCGCCCAATAGAAGGTAGGTTGATTTTAAACTTAGCAATAGGGTTCTTCGTACACATTTTTACTCCTGCTCATTTTCTGATAAATTTAGTCTGTCATTTCTTTGATCAGATAAACATTTTTTTATAAAAAAAAAATTGACATTGATGAAATGTAAAAAAAGTATGATAAAATTTGAAAAATTTTTTTTGATTTTATCAAAAACATTTGTAATATTATTTTAACGGAGTTTTAGAAATTTTTTGTGCTTAACCGACTAATGACTTCAAAAATTCCATGATAAACTAGCAACTACATTTCAGCTAAAAACATGTCCAACAGATAAGTTGATAATTATTGAGTTATTACATTCAATTTTCTTACCATTGGTATATTTATGTATCAATAGCAAGACCATGTAACGTATTTTGCCGTAATATTTGACTGCTTATTTTTTTTAAACTTATCTAGAGTATAATTTTAAAAAATTTATATAGCATGAGTTTTACAATAGTCAATTTTACTCAATTTTTTGAGACCATACATTTTTAGACTATGTCGTATAGGGACATAGTCCCATAGGGACAAAATCAAAAAGTAGGATGTTACTCCCTAAATCTATTGGCTCTGCTTTTCTTTTAAGTTTTATACAATGAGAGCCCAAAAATCGTCTGCGACACGGATGCGAATTTCAGATTAAATAGTCATTTGATATGTTAAATGATTCCTAATCTAATCATTTGTGCCCGTAAAATCTTTTAACAACGAATATAAACGCTTATGGAAGCACAGCAGCATTTACAAATTTTTTTTATGTGAAACATAACGAATAAAACTTGGTGCCTTAAATTTTAGCGTAGTATTTTTAGTAGTGTTTTTTCAACAAATAAAATTTATATTACTGACATTTCATTACTTGGACTCGTTGATTGACTACTCCCAGGGTACTCCAAGATTATTTCTATTTTTTTAGGCCACAATAATAGAAATAAAGAAAATGACCTTTGAAGTGCTTTAAAGCAGTTGCTCGAAAACGCTGGCAGGTTTGCGGTACATTGTCATATTGAAAATTAAATTCATAAATAAAAAATAATTTCTATTCCATGAAATAATATAAATTGGTACATTTTTGTACCAAGCTGACATAATCATTTAACTTTTCGATAAAGTCTAGAATAAAAGAATAAATGAAATAAAAACTTTATAAAAATAAGTAATAAAATTTTATACTCAAGTAAAAAATCTTCAATGCTTATGAAAGACAAGTATGCCTTATAAATAATTAATCTAACTTACAAATTGCTCATACTTTTTTTAAATGGCATGTTTTCTACAAATCAACATTTTAATCAACAAAAATTCACTCCAAGGAAAAATGACATCGTTTGCAAAAATCTTCGCAGTCATGGGTCTGCTATTTGTCACTACACTCGCAGCCGAGGAACAAAATTTCATTAGAAGATACTTTGAGGCTTTTGATCCATTTTACACCAGANTCTAAAAATTATTCCGAGCCTTACTATTCGCTTTACCACAGACTTGCAAAAAATTTCAACCAAAGCCTTGCGTACGTAATGTGCAACGCGACTGTAAGTTGGTATGACTTGAACTGCTCGTTCAAACTGAAGATGCTGAATGGCATCGAAAAACATTGCGACGTAAGTTTCGCACATCTCCAGAATTTTGGTGGTCTTTACAGCATAATGGCAAACAAAGCTTTGTTCGAATTATCTTTGGTAAACGATAGCGCAGAATACAAAGGGATTGCTCTAATCGACATGAACAACTGCAATTCTGTCCATCTAGACTTTCCAGACGACGATTACTACCATCTCCTCGTGTACGACAACAGCTTTCACGTTACCACGAAAAATAAGGAAAAGTGCGGCCAAGAGCACAGCCCCTGCATGATCCGATACAATCACGATGGTAATTACAAATTTGTAAAAACTTGGCGTCGATGCTCAAATTATCATAAAGATGATTATTTTACTGTTTTCAGGAGAGCAAATTGGCGAACCAGTGCCCTTTCCTCCAAAGAATTACAGGCAGGGGTACGCTATGGTCGTGGACCGGCACAATTCGAGCAGTGGAGGATTTTTTACCACATATGAGAAAATCGACCGCAATGAATATCAGATGAACGTCAGTCGCGTGAGCAACGATGGCACCGAAATGGTCCTTTTAAAAAATTACGTTGTGAGAAAGAATGTCGAGGGTGCCCAGGTGCAGTCGAACGAGTACGGCTACTTTTCGTTCTGCCACAGGCAATTTGAGTTACGTGGAGTGATTACCTGTAAGCAATACGATACGATGGGCCAAGTATTGATAAATGGTTGGTTCTACTTGCCATGGAAACACAAGATGATTAAAGTGTTCAATTTGCGCCGAGGTGGCATGATCCTCATGTACTTTAAGTGCAGTAGTTTCGCGTGCGCTAGCTCCAACGTAAAACTAAGAGTGATGAGCTACAAGGATGCCAGATACGTCCAGCTAACCAAAGTCGGGTTGTATACTTACTCTGGAAGAGAAGGGCAGGAGTTCAGCATCGACCACATGGAAACGGAGACTCAGCACTGCTTTTACTTTGTCAATGGGCCAAAACGCTGGCGCGACAAGAAGACTGTATTTAGATATATGAAAAAATGCATCAAAAAATAGGCTGGCACCTTGCAACTGTGAGTCTTTTGGCTCACTTAGACTTTGTGCTAAAAGTTTTGTAGCACAATTTCTTGGCTTTTTTAAATTTTCTTATTCATAAAACTTTATCTTCTGTGATTACGCAGAAAAGAGAAATTTTCGATCATAAGCAAGTAATTTATTTATATGGATTCATGTAAAAAATGCACTGATGTAATTATATATTTTTTGATAAAATATGTTCTTTATTCGTTTTTCTCGTAATCATCCAATCACTTGAATTTGTTGATGAAACAGTCGACAAAAATGCTGTGTACGTAAACTGTCGTAGCTGTAGCCTCTGGGGATCATCTAAATAAATAGTACTTACTATGTTGGAACGATTATATGAAATGTTTCAAATTCAATAAAACAAGTTGATATTAAAAATATAAGTTTGGGTTGTTTAAACCGTAATCGAAGTAATAAAAGTTTTATATTCCGTAACCGAAAAGACTACAAGTTCATTAATTTACTTGTTTAAATATGTATTTCCTAAAAACACATTTTGAGATGGAAACTGCTTTTGACGTGATGTTTACTGTTTTTGAAGGTAAAGTATAGTTGCCAAAAAGCACCGTGAATTTTAATAAATTAATTCATTAATGGCTTCTACATTTACCCTTAAAAGTTTTTGTAAAATAAGATTGTAATTGTTGTAATAAATCATTAAATCAATAATTGAGGAAGTAGTAACAAACAATGACTGGACTAATTCATTTAAATCCTATTTATTCAAACAACACGACTGTATTCTCTATACGTTTTTGCAGAAATTTTTATTAAAAATAGTAAAATTACAAATTGGGAAAAACCTTTCAAACCTTTAAAAAAAGAAAAAATAATCTCTGAAAGCGAAATAATTGAAGTTAGTCTATTTCCAAATCTCTTTTCCAATAAAATTCTAATCTTTAAATTTAAACTAATAAATATTATAGCATGAGTTTTACAATAGTCAATTTTACTCAATTTTTTGAGACCATACATTTTTAGACTATGTCGTATAGGGACATAGTCCCATAGGGACAAAATCAAAAAGTAGGATGTTACTCCCTAAATCTATTGGCTCTGCTTTTCTTTTAAGTTTTATACAATGAGAGCCCAAAAATCGTCTGCGACACGGATGCGAATTTCAGATTAAATAGTCATTTGATATGTTAAATGATTCCTAATCTAATCATTTGTGCCCGTAAAATCTTTTAACAACGAATATAAACGCTTATGGAAGCACAGCAGCATTTACAAATTTTTTTTATGTGAAACATAACGAATAAAACTTGGTGCCTTAAATTTTAGCGTAGTATTTTTAGTAGTGTTTTTTCAACAAATAAAATTTATATTACTGACATTTCATTACTTGGACTCGTTGATTGACTACTCCCAGGGTACTCCAAGATTATTTCTATTTTTTTAGGCCACAATAATAGAAATAAAGAAAATGACCTTTGAAGTGCTTTAAAGCAGTTGCTCGAAAACGCTGGCAGGTTTGCGGTACATTGTCATATTGAAAATTAAATTCATAAATAAAAAATAATTTCTATTCCATGAAATAATATAAATTGGTACATTTTTGTACCAAGCTGACATAATCATTTAACTTTTCGATAAAGTCTAGAATAAAAGAATAAATGAAATAAAAACTTTATAAAAATAAGTAATAAAATTTTATACTCAAGTAAAAAATCTTCAATGCTTATGAAAGACAAGTATGCCTTATNGTTATGTTAGGCTCGTTTTAGCTAGAACTACGTATTAATAATTGGTAAATTTATTTTAAGTTATAAGTTAGTTGAATAAAAATAAATATTTTAAAAGTTCATTTAAAATACATAAATATACTTTGAATGATGTCATACTTTGACGTCAAAGATAAAATCAACATAAACATTTTTTAAATGGTTCAGTCTTTGTAGTGTAAGTATCCGATAGGGTATTAAGAAGAATTCCATCAAAGTTTTTTGAAAATATTTTTATCTGCTAAACACATTTTTGAATGATGGATCGTAATCAGATAGTTAAATTTTTGTTATTAACAAATTTTATAATCCAATAGAAAGTTAAGATTTTTTTGAGCAAAACAAATTTTTTCTAGTTCTGTAGCTTGTAATAAACAAAAAAATATGTATAAAGAGGATGAAATGCATTATTAAAAAATGTGCAATCATTCCACGAAAAAAGTATTCTCCAAAGCCCAATACTTTTTCCGTTGAATAATTGCAAGCTTTTAATTTTGTATTTTTTCTTTTTTCTAATGAGCTGTGATATAAAGCTTTCATAATAATTTTATAGTTGAATTTCAAATTAAAATTATAAAAGTGTCCTATTAGATATTGCATCCGCTACTGTAATAGAACAAAAAGTGTAAAAAAGGACTAGCAAAATCTATCTATACTAACATCTGTTACAATCTGTTGCAGATAATTATTGAGCACTATTCATGTCAAACAATTCACCCAAACTTTGAAGAAAAAGGACTTGAGGTGCAAGATACTTCATGATTTAAAAACAACTATGATATTTTAGTTAATTGCCTTACTAATTAATTGAAATTTATTGTTTCAAAACCAATACTGTCCAAGTTTTTAAAAATTTGTTCGTAGTGCTTTAAAGTAATACGGTCATGTGTAATAAGAAGGAAATTGTTTAAATAAAAAAAACCCCAGAAATTTTATTAAAATGATATCAAAATGCTATAAATAAAATAAATTATTTTAAATTATATAATCTAATACGACTTATTATTTTCCGTTTAAAAAATGATAAATTTTATGACATATATGACAAAACTATGATATCAAACATCTGGATGACAAGTGAGATATTAGAATATGTATTGAATAATTAAAAGTAATTCAACTTGATCTATAATTATTAAAAAGGATAAAATAACATTATTCGTTTTTTTTACTTTGAGTAACGTTTTTATGCAGGAATTTTTACTGTAGACGGTATGAATTATTTTTCTAAAAATTAACTCTTAATTGCTTGGATTTGATAATGTGAAAAAATCGTAAGTGAGAACATAGTTAAATTACTCCCAGCTCCCAATCGGGACCCACTCAACCGTGCAGTATGTGCTTGCTTTTCTGCCAAACTACACTTATTCGTGCATCGGCCCACAACTGTTTTGTCATTACGCTTATGTTTCTATTTTAATGTAGTGTCATTTGCATAGCTTCCCACGTCACTTATCATTAAGAATTTATAACTGAAAATACGTGCCCCTTCCCGCGCCCCTCTCATTCACATTTCTCCAGGCAAACGCACTTCGGCCTATTTTTCGTCCCTGACTAATACCAACTTGGTTGAGTGAAGAAATTTTTTATGAGCTAATCACACTTTGACACTAGCTCGATGTAGATAACGTTGTCTCGTGGTACGTCATCGCACACGGAGTCCAAGAGATATAAAAGCCGGTTGAGTATTTTTTGAAAGAGTATAGACAACTGTCAAGCAGGAGGTGAAAATTAGGTAAGTACTCAATAAAATTAATGACACTTTCATGTATCATCAGTTGAAGGTGCTCGGCTAAACTGTTTATTGAATGATAAGCTCTTATGTGCCTTGGGATAACCCCAATTTTCACTCATCAATTTTTCCAAAAATTAAATATTTCACGACAGTCTTTTTGACGAGTTTAATAAAATTCAAATCAAACAAACTATGTATAACACGTGAGTTTATGTAATATTATTTAAACTTCTGTAATTTACGGATTTTTCAAGAAATTTACCGGTAATTTTCAATTATTTTATGTACAAAAACTTTGTCAAGCAATAATATATGAGGAAATCCACAAAATACATCCCGTGTTTATCCCTCATTTTAATAAAAAATATTTTTTTGTAACATACCTTCGAGATGGGGCTCATTTTACTCGTAATGTCACGTACTATGAGGAAAAATTTTGAACACGGGTTCAGTGAAGGTGACACCCTTTATTTGTGATTAACATTCTATTATTATATCTAAAAAGGATGTCACCTTCTCTCAAGTCCGTGTTCAAAATTTTTTCCTCATAGTACACAACATTACGAATAAAATTTTTTTAATTTAAACACACATAAGGGCATGTCTCAAAAAAAATTGTTTTCAAATGGAGAACAAAAATGAGATGTTTTTTGTGGATTTTCTCATAATATATTATACCGAATGAACGTATACTACACCTGATGAATTTTAGGATTGTCAAAAAATTTACTAGCCATGAAATGTATACCTATAAAAAACAGTTTGATTAACAAATATTTATTTCAAGGAAAAATGACGTCTGTTGCACAAATCCTCGTAGTCATGGGTCTGCTATTCGTAGCTACGATAGCAGTCAAAAAGCAGGACTTTTCTAAAAATTATTCCGAGCCTTACTATTCGCTTTACCACAGACTTGCAAAAAATTTCAACCAAAGCCTTGCGTACGTAATGTGCAACGCGACTGTAAGTTGGTATGACTTGAACTGCTCGTTCAAACTGAAGATGCTGAATGGCATCGAAAAACATTGCGACGTAAGTTTCGCACATCTCCAGAATTTTGGTGGTCTTTACAGCATAATGGCAAACAAAGCTTTGTTCGAATTATCTTTGGTAAACGATAGCGCAGAATACAAAGGGATTGCTCTAATCGACATGAACAACTGCAATTCTGTCCATCTAGACTTTCCAGACGACGATTACTACCATCTCCTCGTGTACGACAACAGCTTTCACGTTACCACGAAAAATAAGGAAAAGTGCGGCCAAGAGCACAGCCCCTGCATGATCCGATACAATCACGATGGTAATTACAAATTTGTAAAAACTTGGCGTCGATGCTCAAATTATCATAAAGATGATTATTTTACTGTTTTCAGGAGAGCAAATTGGCGAACCAGTGCCCTTTCCTCCAAAGAATTACAGGCAGGGGTACGCTATGGTCGTGGACCGGCACAATTCGAGCAGTGGAGGATTTTTTACCACATATGAGAAAATCGACCGCAATGAATATCAGATGAACGTCAGTCGCGTGAGCAACGATGGCACCGAAATGGTCCTTTTAAAAAATTACGTTGTGAGAAAGAATGTCGAGGGTGCCCAGGTGCAGTCGAACGAGTACGGCTACTTTTCGTTCTGCCACAGGCAATTTGAGTTACGTGGAGTGATTACCTGTACGCAATACGACGCGATGGGCCAAATGATAATGAATAGCAAGTTCAAGCTGCCGTGGGGACACAAGATATTGAAGGTTTTTAATCTCCGCAATGGTGGCATGATTCTCATCTATTTTAGGTGCAGTTATTCTAATTGCTTGAACATTGAC